TTCTAGAATGTGCAATCCCAGGATAGAACAGAATATAATTGGAATAGTATAATCAAGGTTAGGATAAGGTATCCAGGGCTGCTGATTTAAGACAGAACTGGTTCAGTGACCGATTCAAGGAAAAATTGGCCTATTCAGTGGGAACCTTGACCAATTCTGGGAAGGTTGTATTGGTTCACGACTCTAGAGATTTTGGTTCACCTGAAAACTAGTCAGTTTGGTGCTTTTAAGCTGGTTTAGTGTGCAAAATGCTTGGTTTAGCTTGGTTTTTTGGTTTTGAGGCCGGTTCAATCCGTTTTGGTATATTTGAGGCGATTCAGTTTGGTTTTAAGGTGTTCTTAGTAGATTCAAGCCAGTTTAAAAGAGTTTAAGGCCAATTCAAGCTGATTCAATGGTTTTGGAGACTAGTTAATCGCGGTTTAAGGGTTTTTAAGAAAAATGGATGTGTGTTCTTAAGTCGTGTGGGTTTTAGGTGGGTAATGAGCCTTAGGATGCATGTTAAGGTTTCAGAGTGGGCTTAGAGCCTTATTTTGGATAGCCGAGTCCTTTCTTATGTTGATTCTAATGTTGGTCTTAATTGTGTGCTATTATGGTTGTAGATATGACGGTGGAGGCGCATGTTGACCATTGAGTTATTTTTGGGTGACTCGAGTTTTGGCTCGATTTTATACTGTGAGTGATGATATATTTTCTATACATGTATTTTTTAACTGTGATTTATGGCATGGATTCTGTTTTTGATGCATAAACTGTATTTTGATATATACAAAATTTCTAAGATATGTATTAATGTGCTTTGAAATGATAGTGAACCTTTTTAAGATAACATGTTTGACATTGATATGTTGATACATAAACTATATGTGTTTATGGAAAAAATATTTTTGTTTTATATGTGGGGGGGGGGGGTAGTATTGTGTGGTGAGTTTGGGACGTTAGGGGTTTGCACTACAGGACGGTGATGTGTAGAGTCCAGTGGCGAGTATCGTGAGTCTGGTATAAGATTGTGACACCTCTAACATGATACGTTCTCTTGTGAGATGGATATGTGATGAGATTAGGATGTAAGGGGTTTGTACTGGAGAATGGTGATACGTAATGTTCAATTGTGAGTGCCCTGAGTTTGATATGAGACTGTGATACCTCAATTATGATATACTTTGTTATAAGATGGGATTGTTGGGTATAATTGTTGTCCCAAAAGGCAACCCAAGAGGGGGGTGAATTGGGTTTTCATCGCGGAAGCTAAGTGTGTAAAAACAATAAAAATATTGAATCAAATAAACTAATACAATTCACCCAATAATAAATATAAAACAATTTCAAGTAAAGTAAAGAGAGTAGGGAAAAGAGATGCAAACTCTTTTATAGTGGTTCGACTTGCTACCCAAGTCTACGTCCACTCCTCAAGCTCCAACTAGCCAAGGTTCCACTAAGTCTCTTGCACTTGACGGAGGCAAGAAATCCCGAATACAAACAAAGTCCCTTGCACTTGGCGGAGGCAAGAAATCCCGATTACAAAGCCTTTGATTCGGTGAGCTTCAAACACCAATAAAAATGAAGATGAAGTAGAAATGTAGCAATTCCTCTTAAGTAGGATTAGCTACCACTCATGTACAAAATGATCTCACTTCAAAGAGGTACTCTCATGAATAAAACAATTTTCTCTATGCACTCTTTGATCTAGTTATAAACAATATAGCACAAAGAATTAGAAAGAGATTGAAGAGGCTTTGAGAGCTTGTTGTTGTATCCTTCTCCCTTCAATCCATGCTCCTTTTATAGGCAAAAACACCAAGGAGACGTTGGCCTTTGTGGAAGACAAAATTATTTCTCAACAGTAACTGCATATTGGCTCGATTCAAAAATTCAAATAAAATGGCTCCGAGCGTTCAAAAAATCTTAAAATATTCTTGAATACTCCTCATTGAGTCTATTTTCAAATGTAAAAAGAATCATTTAATTATCGTGCACCGTTTGAGAGAAATCATCAAATCTTCAACGACATGCCAGATTGTAAAATTGCTTTTGTCAAAAGTTGTTGGCCAAGTTCAAAATTGTCTAGAAATTTGAATTTGTATTCAAAAATAACAAATTATATATATTTGAAACGCTTATAATGTCTACTTTCATTCAAATTTGGATTCGTGTGAATTTGACTTTTATATTTTGAGATATTGTAAAAATATTATAGTATACTCATTTTGTCTACTGACAGTGCAACTCAGCAGAATGGCCCACTTTGAAAACTTATATCTATCAAACTATAAGTGTAAAACATGCAAATAATATATGCATTTAAAGCTCAACACGTCTACTTTACAAATAAAATTAATTCAGAATTTTATTTATATTATAAATTATATTTTACTAATTAAAACAAATATCATGCAGATTTCAAGAATGACTTTTTCAGAAAATAATATGTAAGATTGATATAATAAACTGCTTTAATACAAAAGAATATATATGATGAATTATATATCAAAATAAAGATATTTGAGTGTAGTTTCATATAAAATTGACTTTATAATTTTTTGACTTTTCTATAGTAAGATATAATTAATTTACTACACACATGTCTAATTTGACAGCTTCACAATTTAGTACATGTAATGTATGTAGTTAAACAATAAACTTAATATTATAAATTGTCCATATTATTCATTATATAAATATACATAATAATTTTAATTTGTTTTGTCATTATCAAAATAAATATAAAACCTTGAGGCTAACAATAATGGTACTCCCACATATATAGTTTGATATATATGAACTACTCACCATGTAATTATATGTATATTTTGGTATGTGTTGCGACGCATATTCCAACATGATTAGAATATGTATCATTTGTTTTTCACTAAATTTCACAACTCACTCTTTTATATCTTTCCAGAATAGGTTTCCCTTTTACATCTCGGCTAGCGTGTTGGTGTCAGAGCTTGTTTCTTGCCAAACTGCTTGATATATGGGCATACTTCTGTATTATACCTAATTTGTGCTCTAGTAGTTCATTTTACTATTCTTAGACATGATCTTGATTTTGTCTATGTAGAGATTGATATATATATATATATATATATATGAGTGAGACTAATATTGTTTTACATGTTTGAGGGTGTGAAGTTTACTAGGATTGGTGAACCCTAATGGCAGTCACAGGCTTGTGTTTGGGGCATGACACCTTATCCTCCCAATTAAAAGCCTAATTTGGAGGCTAATTTAGATTTTAATTCCCTCTAAATTAAATTAATCATTCTCACCATTTCTAAGTTCCAAATCAGGTTTTTCCCTTAATTTTTTTCTTTCTTTTTCTTATTTTTATTTCATTTTTCTATTTTGTGCCTCTCTTAAAATCTCTTGAAACCTTTAAAGTCTTATTTTTTCTTTTAGGGTTGTGAACAAGAAAACAATAATTTTCCATTGAGTTTTAAATTAATTGTAATATACTATTAATGCAAATGCCATGCTCAATGATGAACAGATGCATGCATAAAATGCAATAAGGCTATTTCAAGTTCCGGATGTTATATTCAATATCTTCACTAGTTGAAATTGTAATCCTAAAATCGGTTTTAAAATTTCAGAGAGCATTTGAAAGATTAGAAGAAGATTGTGGTTACTATTTAACATATATATATATATATATATATTTGGATGATGTAAAGATGGAGGACCACTTAAAGAAGGAAGATTGGGTTAATGCTCATGTTTTTATGAAATTCTTGGGTATATTCTATGAGATTACTTAGAGATTGTAAAGATCAACTTTTGTTATTAATAATAACTTTTTCATGAGTCAACTTTATTTTGATCTGAATTGTGTGAATCATATGATATAAAAGATAGCTTTTAACATATATGTAATACTAAATGTGAGAGGAAATTTTGAAAAATACTGGAAAAATTTTGAAAACATCAATCAACTATTATTTATAGTTGTTGTGCGATACTAAATATGAGAGGAAAATTTGAAAACTACAAGAAAAATTTTGAAAGCATCGATAAGTTATTATTTATAGTTGTTGTGCTTGATCCTCGATATAAAACATAATTTTAACATAAAATTTTAAGAATACAAATAGTGATAATCAAGTTGCCACGTTGTCTAAAAAGGTAAAGATGTTTTGAGTAATTTATTTTAGCAAAAGAAGATGAAACATGGTGCAAAATATGGCCAAACAAGTGGGGAGAAATTTTGATATCTAACCAAATTACAAGTAAACCAGATGGCTTCTCTTCATATTAATATTTTGAGGCAAGTTATGAAGAATGAGGATGGTATGGAACTTAAAAGTGAGGTTCAAAAATATTTACCAAAGAAAGTTATATACCTATCAAAAATGATGAATTTGATGTATTAAGATGGCGGAAAGAAAATTCTAAAAAATATAAATTATTAAAAATGATAGCCCATAATGTTCTTGCTATTCCAATTTTATAGTAGCCTCAGAGTCAACCTTTAGTATAGTGGTGGATTATCTGATTTTTTAAAAAATTTTCTTACTTTTACAATCGTAGAGACTCTTATTTGTGCCTGTGATTGGTTGTGTGCATTCATTATTGATTTAAAGATACATAATTTGTGGAGCAAGTAGAAAAGTAAAAAAAAAAAATTGAATTAAGTGTTGTCATAAATTTAAATACATTTATATATTTTTTTAATTAAATGTTAACTAATTGAACTCACCAATTTTTGCATTTTTTGTTTTTTTAGAGGTTTTGCAGTCAAGATTGACTGCTATGGGGACACATGACTTGCTAATTAACAGCTCCAAGAAAACATCATGTTGCTTTCATGATATTCATGGGAATCAATACATTTATAAACTTCCTTAAGCCCTTCCCTTTTTTACCCACACAACACAAAATCATTAACTTATTATGCCATGAAGGCTTATTACAAGCTAGACAAAGCAGAAGATGGAAATCAAGTACACTCTTTGCTTTACTTCTCACATGAGAGTAAAGCATAAACTAAGGAAGGGTTATTTTTAACCGCTGGTTTCATTGGTGATTAACTTCCTGTACCAGGTAATTGATTTTTTAGGATAATGCTTGTAATTGTCTAGGTAGTCGACATAACATAGGCCAAATCGAATAGTATAAGCTGAATTCATTTCCATGCCATCTACAATAGACCATACGAAGTACCCTTTGATGTTAACGCCCTTGCTGCACAAATAAAGCGTTGAGAAGATTTTAGGAATTATTAGTGAAAATTAAGAACCAAGTAATGAAACTTTAAATAAGATTCGCTTTTAACTAATTTTTAAATTTAAATCGTTGAGTATTGAGTTTTTTTTAATTGCATTATTTGGTTGCACAAATAAAACATTTATTAGAGAATCCGAGTCCAGATATAGAGATGCTCTAACCAAACCTGATGGAATTTTTGATGTAGTAAAGATGCTCTTGTAAGACCATGATCCGCTTATCATCTTGCAGTGCTGTCTTAATCGGGATCGAGTCATTTCTTTTATCAGGATATCCTGTTTTCAGTTTATGGTAAAGAAATGAAAGTTAAGTTGTGTTTGGAAACAACCTTTTTGTTTATCTTTAAAGAAATGGAGAAACAAAAAAGGAAAATGTTTTTTTCTTTTACTCTTAAATGTGGATAGGAGAAATTATAATTTTTTAACATTGCCAAAAAAGTTGACAAGTGCCAACTTTTTGAAACTTATAAATAGCAGAATTTTGTAATTAAAAAAAAAAAACGCTGCCAAACAAGCTTAGCTAACCGTTTTCAGTGATGAAGATCTTCGGATTTTTATATGCAAGCTTCATATGTTCCAGAACTTTCAACAATCCAACTGGGTAAACATAAATCTGGTCGAAGCCTCCAGCCTAGGAAGACATTCAAACGTCAGAAGATCATATGCTATAAACTTTATATACATTTTACTGAATTTAATTTTTCTTTTTTTTTTTCCTTCGCAATGACAAAACATGAAAATGAATGTTCATTACCTGCTCACCAATAGGCACTCCGTTTTTCTCAGCTGAACAGAGGAAACACGGGTATTGTTTAAGTTAAAATCTTAAATGTAAACTATAAGGTATCATATATTGATGAAATTAGGTTGCGTTTGGATGAAATTTATTAAAAAATAAATTTTTGAAAGTCAAATTTTTAGAAATAATTTTTCAGAATTTATTTATGCTAGTTACAAAACAATAAAAATTTTGATTTTTAAACAACACTTTTTAACAAAATTGTTTGAGCATTTTAGAATATTTAAAAAGTACTTTTTAATATTTTTTATTTAAAAAAAACTTAACAAATGGACCATAAGATGTCAAAAACATCTCTATATATATTAAAAATCTTAAGAGATTCAATCCATTCACTTTTTATATTTTAGTCTAGAGAGGTACAAAAGACACTTGCCAAGTTCATGTGGGTTCGTTTTTTCCTGACTTTTTTTTGTTTCCCATTCTCAAATTTGATTTTCTATGTTTTACTAAAACAGAAAACACTGAAATTTTCTAAATTTTATTATTATAATATCAATTTTGTTTTATGTATCAATAGTGGTCTTGAAATGTTTAAAAAAATGGACATATTTTGTAAAAGTTTTCCTAAAAGTAAAAGAAAACATTTTGTTTGCAAAAATAGAAAACTATTTTCAAAATAAAACTATTTTTATTAGGTTCAATTGTGTGCATGCTTGGTCTACACTTACTTTGTTGTGGAAAAATGGGAGATCAAAGATTAAATTAAAAAAAATGAAATTAGTAAAAAGGATAAACATGATGTATATATACTTAGTTTCGTAAGGCGCTGATCATTTGTATAGTTGGCAGGTTCACTGCTGGTTAGCTTTGTAGCCTGGACGTATCTGGAAGTGTAGTAGTTGACGCCCACAAAGTCATAGGACCCGTTCACCATTTTTTGTTCCTCCTTTGTAAAGTTAGGAAGCCTTTCCCCCACATTAAGCTTCATGGAGGGAGGGTAGTCCCCGTGCACCAAAGGGTCCAAAAACCTTTCCAAAGAAGAAGACCAACAAAAAATTAATTAATTAATTACTTAATAATTCATTAGTGATGGTCATTTCGATCTTCCTTTGTTAATTACCAAAAAAAAAAGTTTATGTAAAAAAAATTATACTATTGAACCTGTCTAAATTATACAGTTGAATAAAAATATTCACAAAAATAATTTTAAATTAATCAAGTATTTCAAAAGAAAATTGTAACATCAACCAAATATGAAAATTTTAAGGGTTGAATTTATTTAGGGTTAGACAGAGTGGTTGTGGATTACCATCCAACCAAGAAGTCCCATGCCCTGTGCGATGCAATTATATCTGCAGTCGAATTGTCATTAAGGGGCAGAAACCACTGGGTACTTAGAGACATACCTAGTTGTCCCTTTTGGGTTGTCTGAAACCAAAGAATCAAATATACAAATGCAGTCAGATAACAAATTAATATATAATTAGGAACGTCTTATAAGAAGAATTTGCTAAGTAAGTGTTTCCCAATTTTTTATGTCTTATTCATTTTATTTTCTCAAAATAGAAGACAATTTTTGACTCTTTTTAAAATTAGAAATAATTAGTTTATCCTGTTTTTCATTTGACTTCTCTACACACAAATCAATAATCAGAAGTTCAAAATATTTACATGTTTGGCTTTGTTTTTTAAAATAAAAAACCCATTTGATAGGTTGGTTTCAAAAACTATTTTTAAAATTTTTACTTGAAAATAAAATTTTTTTAGAAATAGTAGAAATTTAAAAAATTTTCTGTGTTTATTGGTTTTTAATAAGACAAAAGGATGACCCTAATAAGAAGAGAAGTTCATATGAATTTTTATAAATAATTTTTATATTCATATGAACTTCTTTTTAAAAAAAAATCTAAATGAGGATTAACTCTAACAAATTTTTTCAATTTATAGCTTTAATATACATATATTCAAACCTGGTAAGTTTCTCTGTAGACTTTAACAGCACTAGCATGAGCTAGAATCAAGTGATGGGCAACTATGTAGGGGAATGTTGCTGCATCAACTGAGATTGACAAGTTCATCATGTACCCATATGCCGCAAAAACTTAGGCTCATTCAGAGTTATCCAGTACTGCACCCTATCTCCAAATATCTTGAAGCACAGATCAGCGTAGGCTGTGTAGTCCTTCCTAATCAATTCATTTACATTTCAATTAATTAGACAAAAAATAATTATATATTTTAAGCTTGTTGAAAAAATAATGAAAATAAATGAAAACTTCTTACACAAAACTTGAATTCAGCATGCCATTATATGCTGTTTGCAACGCCACGGGAAGGTCGAAGTGGAACAATGTTTCATATGGCTTGATCCCAGCCAACCCAAAATATGAATTATCTTACCATATTAGTTCACTAATTAATGCAACACAGATCACAATTAAAATAACCTAATTTTTATTTTTTAAAAATAAATTGAATTGGAAAATATTTTAAAAACTGATTTATTAAATACAAACCCAAATTTTATACCAACTGAATTAATATATAAAAAAAATAGAACTTGTAAATTACCATTAGCAACCAGCTCGTTGATCAAATTGTTGTAGAAATCGATCCCCGCCTGGTTGACACCACCACTCAATGTTCCGTCTACAAAGCAGAAATATAAAAGACTCTATTAGTCAAATTGTAAATATTTTTTCCAATTTACCCCTTTTTTATCCAAACAATTTACCATTAAATTTGTTGAAAAATCTCCGCTTTCAAGACAAAATTTTGAAAAGTCGCCCAATTTTCTAATAGAAATCAAATTTTGTTCATCGGAAAAATTTTATTTTTTATTATTTCTGATGAAGGTAGTCCATCAGAAAATTTACTTTTTCAAAAAAAATTATCTTTTATAAACTTATCTTTTGCTCTTGGAAACTTTACTTAAAAAAAATAATTTTCCAGTTTTCAACAGATAATGTCTATTAGAAATCATTTCACGCTCTTTTCTTGCACTTTTTAACAGACTTTTTTTTGAAATTTCTTGGAAATAGTTGAAGTAATGAATTGAAATCTCGGACGAAAAATTTTTGAAGGAATTTTTGAAGAGTTATCGGTCCAAAAAACTTTTTCTAATAAAATAATTTTTTGCCAAGTTATAGTATGTAAATTCGAAAACTCCAATTTGCAGATTAGACTTTCAAATGAAGAGATCAAATTAGAAAAATACCTGAAGAGCAGAACTAGATGCCCCAAACTGAAAATCAGCCGGAAAGTCACTTCTCACCACTGCAGAGGGCTCCAAATCTGTTGTGTTGATTGCCACCGACAGAGAGAGGGAAAGTAGGAGTGAGAGAAATAAAGAAAGGCGTTTCCATGAAAGACCCATTTTGCGATGGTCCAGCGGAGGACTCCCTCTAAAGTGACGAATGGTTGATTAACTTTCGTATTACTTATAAGGGGAGCAAGTTGAGAGAAAATTTTCCTTGTTCACTAAAGATCACTAAAGATCCAGCAAAACGTTCATAACGTGATAACCAAAAAACAAAAAAATAAAAAATAAAAAATAAAAAATGAAAAATGAAAACACGTGGTCAACGTGGTAGGAAACAAGCCACCCAAACTAATCCTGATCGCTCGTTTCCTGCCGTGTTGTCCACGCGTTAGGGCGTTTGCTTTACGAAAATATTTTCTATGTTTATTTCTTATTTTCATTTTCTAAAACTAATTTTTGGTTTCAAATTTTTAAATTTTAGGAAATATATTAATTTAATTTGTTATTTTCTGTTTTTAGAAAATAAAAATAAAAATAAAAATAAATTTAAGTTATCTATTTTCAGTGAATAATAAAAATAACATATCAATTGAATGGAATGAATATTTTAAAGTTTTTACAAAGAATTTAAGAGAAAAAATCATGCTACAATAATATCACACTAAAATTCTACTTGTATAATCCCTTACAATGTCATATATTTTCTTGGTGAAAATATGCTCATAAGATATCTAGAATCCTAGGTAAATTCAAAGGCATAGGTCAGCACCTGTCACACCCTGATCTTGGGCCCGTGATCGGCACTAGGGTCCACCGATCCTAGTTAGCTTCAAAATACTCTCACATGATTTAAACCATCAAATCATATGAGTATTATGAAATACGTCATACAAAATCAATCTTCAAATACAAATTAGAATTCTGTCTAAGAATAACAAAGGAGTAATCTAAAGTACAAAACAGTAACACAATGAAATGTGCTTGTACGTCACTCGAAATCCGGAGCTCAAGTCAAATCTCCACTAATTGAAATACGAACAACCAACTTGATCTGGAATGATAATAAAAGGGTGAGTCGCAAAACTCAGCGAGTATAGATGATACCTAGTCTATGCATGTTGGGATATGTATCACGCCACAAGTACAAAATCATACATACACATATATACAGTGAGCAGTAATCAAAACACATATGTGAGGTATCAAGGTAATCAATCATCACATCGCATCAATCACTGGGCTAGTGTACTCCCCGCATGCTACGGTAGCACACCGTTTATCGGCTGAGCCCTTAGCCACACAACTCATCTCATCGCCGAGCCAAGGTACTCCCCGTACGCTACAGTCCACCGTCCGTCGGCTGAGCCTGCCATCCCATACACATCACATCACTAGGCCAGTATACTCCCAGCACGCTATGGTAGTACACCGTCCACCCGCTGAGCCCTTAGCCACACAACTCATCTCATCGCTGGGCCAAGGTACTCCTCGTACGCTACGGTCCACCGTCTGTCGGCTGAGCCTGCCATCCCAATACAACCTGACAGTGCGTAACATGTCTGCGGCCTCTGTTGCATGCGATCCTTGTCGCCTCATCTTAGACCCAGGGCCTTCACACTGGACGCCACAGCATTGTTGTCTTCTAACCGAGCCACCTGGCGTCCCCAAAACACATCTCACGATACCAACTTCATGCATAAGTCAAAAACAAGTATACATACTCATATACAGTTTACATCTCAAAAGCCAGTATCACAAACCAACATATCTCACTGACAGTTCATAAAACACATAACACATATCCTGAGTATAATATAGTCAAAATACAGTTTCCAAACCACATAATCATCATATCAGAAAATCACAGTATGAAAACATAGGCATAGAGAGGGTATCATCACTACAGTACAGAAACCAAGCCAATAGAGAATTTCCGAGTCACCTCCACCCGACTCATCGGTCAGGGTATACCTCCTCAACCGTATCTGTAGTCAAAACCAAACAAAATCATCACCAATACCAAAATCAACATAAGAAATGGGCCTAGTAGTCTGAACCGGCTCAAATCCCATCTTGGGACCCTTGACACGCATTCCAAGACATCAAAACCCATCACGAGACCCACACAACTCACTAATACTATCGATTCTTACTCAACAACCCTTATCAATGGTGAACCAACCCTTAAAATCTCGAACTATAATGAACCGACTGCCAAAAACCTTGAACCGGCCTAAAACTATCTCATACCGAACTCGTTTGGTCATGAAACCCTCAAAATCAGATTCAGAAGGCCCAAAAACCCTAGAAACCATTATGAACCAGTCAATAATGGGCCAAAATAAAGCTGAACCGACTAATTTATCATTAATTTACCTTGAACCAGGCCGGTTCAATTAAAAACACTAAATTTTCGGTCGAACCGGACCTCCCCGAACCCCCGAACCAACTCGGTTCAGTAGGTCTTTTCTCCCTGATTCCAGAACCGGTTCAACTTCCCAATTCTGAGGTCGTTTGACCACGAACCGGTCAGTCAAAGCAACTGGCTGATTTAGTCAATTTTTTTTTTTTTAAGTTGAGTCGAGCTGGCTCGGCTCAGCTCAGCCAGTTTGGAGCCAGCCCACATCATCCATATATATATATATATATATTTAAAAAAAAAAAAAATAGGCTGGCCCGCGACTGGAACCGCAGGCCCCCTTGCCCCTTTTGCCCAGTCCGGGCCCAGTGGCCCGGACAGGCTTGCAGCCCACACGGGCTACAACCCGTGCAAGGGGGACCCGGATCAGCCAGGTCCTACCTTGATTCACTCTGATCATCTGGGTTTGACAAACCCGGTTCATAAAACCAGGTCTGTACCCCTCCAAAATTCAAAAATAATTTATAAAAATTCGAAATAAAATAGAAAAACCCACTTACCTTATCAATCCACACCCAAAAATGGTAGATCTAAGCAGAATGAGTTGAACTACGCCCAATAATAAGATCAAAAACTAGTAAATCCTCAAAATTTTTTCAAAAACTACTCACGGATCATGGATGAACCCAATAATAGAAAGCTCTCAATTTCTCCCTCTAAACTCTCCCGATCTCCAAAATTGAGAGAGGGCTTTCATTCCTCTCTTAAATACGCACGCGGTGGTGTGAACAATTTGCTGAAAACTTCAACCATCATGGCCAATTCGGCGTCAAAAGTTTCAGCCACCGATTTGGACCAAAATTTTTGTTTTCTTTAGATCTAGTCCTCAAATTTTGTTTTTCTTCAATTCAATCCCTGACAATTTCAATGAAATCCCATACTTTCCAGAATTCTCAAATCAACCCCCAAACTTCTAATATTCCCTAATTAAGCCCTCAAATTTCTAATTTTCACAATTAAACCCCTAATTGAATTAATTAATTAATTCTAATTATTTATTAAAAATTGGGTTATCACATTCTTCC